AGTGATGACGAATAAAAAGGTTAAGGACTTGTTTTGCAAATAGATACCCCATTTCATTAAGGGTAAAAGTGACTTTTGAACAAAATTCTTAAAAAACTACTATTCATAGATCATTTTGAAAAATCCCCCGGGGTGGAAATGGTGGTGAAGAGTGTAGATTGTGGTTGTGGTGGTCACGGTGGTAGTGGTGTTGACGGTAATGGATTTAGGAGATGGTGGAGTCGGTAGTAGTTGTGCTACAGGAGGCGGCGGTTGTGGTCACAAATCGTTTTGTTGATTGAAACCAATAAATTGGTTGGTGAATGACAAAAAAATAATACATGATCAACGAAATAGATAACTTATGACCAATAAGTGATGTGTGACCTAAAAATTTGTTAAGTTGTGATCAATAATTTGTGACTAATTAATTTGATATTTTGCAACAACGAAATAAGTTGTGATTCATAAAATTTGTTGTTTGTGACTGTGGTATCTGTAATTGTGACTGATATATAATTGTGACCATAATATATTTAATTAATAAAATATTTTAGTTAATTATTTAATAAATAAAATTTATATTAATATATGATTTTTGAAAAAATAAACATTATCTCTTAGATTTAAAATAGGTCATACTTAATTTCTTATTAATGAAATTTTCCCTAAAATCTTTCCTGTTACAGATGTGTGGAAGTTGGCTATTTCTATTAGTTTACTTGGGCCTGAATCGACTCAAAATTTATTTTTCCATAGCTATTGTCTGCCACGACAAATTGTGAAAGCTATGAGAAATTGTGCTATCTTAATTCTTGATTATGTCTAGGATGGAATACAAATTTCATTCATGCTGAAGGAATTATATTTGCAAGTGCACGTAAAGTGTTCGACAAATTGCCTAGATTGGAATTCTAATTTAAAGATTTCGGTTTCCTAGCATGGAAATGTGGATTTAATTTCTTGATTTGGCATGTCTACAAACTCCTATGAACACTTGGAATTCTTATGTGATGTGAAGCGTTCGAAGAAGTGCAAAAAAGTACCAAAAACAGCAGCCGCTTGTCTCGAAAGTATGTCAAAAATATTAGAATGTCACAGGAAGCTTGTTGCAACTTTATCGATAACTTGCCAGCTATGCATTTTTCATTTGGGTAATTATATTACCACCACAAAACTTACTTATCACATCACATTATAATCACACCACAATTAAAATACATTATTGATAAATACACCACAAAAAATTTACAAAGATACCCATAATCCAATAAAAAAAAGTCTTGTGGTGTACTCATGAACTATTTTTTTTTTTTAAATTGTTTTTTCACTCCATCCTCTGTAAACCCAATATCATGGAATCCCATGTTTCAAATCAAATTCTTACCCAATTGGAAATTCTCAGCTAACGAACAATTGATCAATGCTCTTCACAAAAAATTTGTTTTTTCACTCCATCCTCT